AACATGTTTTATAAGCAAATATCTCGAGAGACTGATTCCCGTCGAGTTATATCAGTTTCGACTGGTTCCCATTTAACCAGCAGAGAGAATTTTTCAACAATTAAGTGAATGGGTTTCACGAAACCGTTAGAATTCACTTAGCCTTGCTTCTTAAAAAGTTTTCAATTTCGTCTTCACTTTGGACACCTCAGTACCCCCAAGGAGATCGTAAACCGTATCGTATAAGTAAACTGGCGATACAGTAGCAATTCGTAGCCCAGCCATAGGTGCCAGTGGGTCCTAGAGCAGATATGAGTTTCAATGCGAGCAAGACCTCTCCAAAATCACATTTATAGTGGGATTGTTGATGAAAGAAAATATGATTTGCCATTACAATTGACGACGTTAAATAATGTTTGGGAGACCTTCGCTTTGTGTGAACGCGTCTGATGAAGAGATTCGTAGATGGATTTCACCATAAGACAACTACTGATTCCCGTTATTCTCAGACGGTCGATTTTACTACGACGTCCATGTTGAGGCAGCCCACGAAACACAACCTCGCTTCGGATGAAAAAGGGCTTGGCTTTTACCCCTCGTCAGAGCTGGAACCAATTCCTACAAATGCTTTAAGTTCTTGTTGTAGAGACTTTTATTTCATAAAGAAGTTCACGAAGAAGATATTCAAAGATCGATTTTTGCAAAATGCCATGGCTGATTCTCGTTGTAAGGCAGCCGTTCCGTTTATCCTGGGCTATTAAGCCTCGTTGACCAGAATAAGACGTTAGGCAGTTTTGATCACTCTGTTTTAAGATCGGTATTGTGTATGATCTTTAACACACACATACACTCGAGCAAAAGTACCATGACCAATATGGAAGATAATTAGCCAAACCATTATATATATATGTTTATACATTTAAGTTTTTTAATTATGAGTATATATAAGAAGTTGAATACTCCTTTTGGCCCAGCGCTAACTTAAATCTTTTATAAGAATAAGTTTTAGCCTTGAGTATGTCCATCATATGATGGACGAAAGCTCAGTCAGTTTATGCCTGTAACGAAGGCGGATGCCTCGTGGACTGTGTCGACTTGAATGTAGTAGTAAAGCCTTAACCGAAATAAGGTGAATATCTTTCATATAACTGATTTACTGGTAGTCTCGAAACTATGCTTATATGCGAAAAATAAAGCCAAAAGGTTGCCGTCCTCTTCTGGTAAGATTGACCTTCGAATCTTTGCTTCGAGCACTTTCATACAAAATGAAAGTCTCCCCAACCCAGTTACTCTTCGTAGCTTTTAGTCGAGACTAAGTCACGAAGACTGGCCATCAATACCATACATGCAATATATATGGCCAGAACTAAAAACGAAAATATACAGATTTGATAGTTCTCTGTCACATAAATCAGGGTATTTATACTTCAATTTGTGTGTCCGTGTATTAGCATCTTTACGCGTGTAAGAGAGAATACGCAATCTCGGCCATTAATCAGAGTACTTATAAAAAAGCCTAAGTTACACCAATTAGTTGCAGAACAACGAGATCAGCCGTCTTCTTCTGATGAGATGAGCTTTCACACCTAAACGGAAGTCTTTACAACAATGCTATCTGACGAATAATCGATACCAACTTTGGCGTCATATATACGATGCTACTCATATTCGGTGTATGTGTAAAAACCAAGACCAGAATAGTGTGGCCTCTATTTTGGTCGGGCCACCTATGGTTGCATATAATTGGTTCGACCTCGTCTTCGAAAATTGGTCATGATCTCAGAGAGACTCAGATGAACTCACCTTACCACAAGTCCTTTGACATTGTGGTCCCGATGATTTCCAGTATGTACTAAGTTCACAATTCAACGTTTAAAAGTATCATGATTTCTACAACAGAAGACTGACAGTACGACGAAGTTGTGAAAACGAAGTCGAACTACTTCTACAAGAGGAAATTTCACTTAAAATGGAAGTGAGTTCAATAATTATTTCGATACTCTCATTAATTCTTAACTAAGAACTTAGTCATTATAGGCCGCATGTGATCGTGGAAATTTCCCACAATTTAATCATTAGACCTTTAGATACCATTTAATTTCACTCAGCTTAACCTCCCGAAAAGGCTATCTCACTTAAGTCAGACAATCAACCCTTATATCATCTAAAACATCTTAGGATGACCAAGTTCTGAAGCCTACTCACATCGAAAAGCATTCATACTTTTTTAACTTCGCCCTTACCAACATCAAATCAGCATATCCACTTAACGACTCATCTACACTATAACCCACTTCCCTTTCTGTCTGGACCTATTTGCTGAAAAATCTCCGACATGTTCAGTCAAGCCATAACTTTTCTCTGCCCCTGACTCTTACCCACCTTTCTGCCCAGAACCGATGTCCTACTGCCACCTCTAGAATACCTGTTCCTCCGTCCGCCTAGGCGACTGGATTTATTACCCAAAAAGGGGGCTAAGCCTCTTCATTCACTGCGTATTCCCGAATGCCCACCGCAAGTGGATATCGTAACACATCAAGACGTCTCTAGACACAACAGCACTACCATCCAGTTGATCAGTAAGAGTGATTTTGATGATTCTCGTATAAAAGTAGAGCGTCGAGACTACCAATGCTTCAGTCAAATTCTTCGTCAATGCCACAGTGCGAGCCAAGAAATCCTCGGCCGTCGTCAAAGCAACGTAGGGGGGCTCCTTAAGCTTGAACCACCTCAAATTTGACCACATGACAAACGGTCAAGACAACCACTTCACAATTCTTGACCAGACCCAAGGCAAGATTGCATATGTATATATATATAAAGTCATAGATTTTGTGAGTAAAAGTCTCATTCAAGATTGTTTATCACCAGCGAGTTTTGTCGTCTTGGTGACGATGAGGTGAAATTCTTGGAAGATATCTTGGCGCTTCATCAAAAGACAACTCAGCTCCAGAAATGATCTTTTCAACTTTGCATATGCTATTCGTTTTTTCATCCACAGGGTAGATAGCCGTTTCACATCTCTCTCTCTCTCTATCCCTCAACCTAGCCCTCTCCAGATGTCCCCTTCCGGTAGCCCCAAATCAATCAATTCATTCGCCCATCATACCACCCCTTCCAGTCCTCGCTTCTACCCTGTCCTATCCACTCTTCAGCAGTTCTTGTTCATGCTACTGGAACCATGTCGTGGCAACGTATGTTCTTTCTTTCGGCCTTGATGTGCGGGGTGTGTGGCAGTGCCATGGCTTTTATCTCTAGGCCTGCGTGGCTGTACATGCGAGCGATTAGCCTCAACGATTTAATCCTCCCGTGAGGGGAGGCGGCTCTCAGAATGAAAGCCAGAAGGGCGAAGGAAAGGAAAAAAGGAGCCTCCATATATATGTGCCTGTGTGCGTGTGTGTGTCTGCTTGTGTGCATGTGTGTTTGTGAGTCTGTGAAGGTATGCTGCTAAAGGGAGGACAGGTGAGGGAATCTAAGTGATAGCTTGAGGGTTCGTCTCCTCATCCCCACACGTCTGCCCGCCTGCTCAACCGGCCTTGAAGGCGCCTAGTTAACGCTTGTGTGAATCTACGAGAGTCGGCATACAAATAGATAAGTGTTTATTTATCATTCTCCTCGTCTGTGATTGTCTGAGGAGGCAACAACGTTATAATAAGGGGGGAAAGAATGGGCATACCTAGTCCTTTTGGCCGGATTAGATTCGGCCCTGTCGCCTCCGATGAGTCACTGCGTCATTCACCTCCTAACTCTGTCCGCTTCTCACTCCTTCTTTGTTGTGGTGCCCATTGGTAGACATGAACACGACGGCCTGCCCATCTATATGCGTCTATTCACCTCTTCTCAGACTCGGCTTTTTGACTGAGCACACACCCTTCCACTCCCACAGTCCGCGTTCCAGCTCCCCGGTGCCTCGGTCCAACTTGCTCCACTCGTGGGCGCTGCGCCAATTCCCTGTCTGCCCACCCGCTCACCCAGACTCAGAGCATGTAGCAATCGGGATACCTGAAGGATGCATATGCTGGCCAACCCCAGCCATGGTCCGCTTTCTCAGAACGACCCTGTTGTATCCTCCTTTCACTACAGAATTAGGTCACAGTCGACCCCATGGCCGGGTTAACACGATTCCAGACTAGCAGGAATCCATCGCAATCCCAGCAACATTCTCTCTCATTCCCTACGGTTACTTCTCTCTCATGAGAACACACAACACACACACACACACATATGCTATTATATCGGAATTTCATATTATATATTTATTATTATACATGCTTGTTTATTTTTTGCATACGCGCATGAGCATTCACACAAACACACACACATTTCCGATTGCGTCTTCATCAGCCCTCGGTCAATCTCAACTCCTTGCTCGGCTCACATTCGTTGTGAGCTTAAATGACCCCTTTGGCCTAAGTAATTAATAATCATCTACATCATTTCCTCAACATCAATATGCTCCAGATAATGGGAACCTACCAACCAGGTGAACTGTCGTTATCCATGCAAAATACATGCAGATGAAAGGTTACGTTCCCATGCGCCTATGCGAGATTACATGATGCTCAGAAGGAGTTTGATTCATATCCCATTCACAAGACCACGCCTGGAGGAGTACGATCTTTTGAGGATGAGTCTGTCTGACTGAAACCCGTGTAGGCATGCCCGTGAGTGCTTACCATAACGCCTACAAAGGGACGTCTTAAGAATTAATACACATATCAAGGAACATCAGACTTTGAGCTGAGCTACAAATTGAGGCTGGGCCATCATTGTTAGGCTAGGACCGATTGTATTAAATAACATGGATATTAAACTAGATTAGCCAAAATAATCCCTATATATGGCATATTATGATTAATTACCATCTCAAGCATCTTATACATCGCTCTATAGTGGGGATGCACCAAAATTAACGGATGCACAGAACGCTTCAATCAAAAAATATAAAATTATAGTCTTAAGAATGCCTTTTAGGTTGTGGTACAGGTTATATATAGCGCTACATGCCTAAAATCGACATGCCTTACATACTTTCTGAGGAATTGTCAACTAAATCTAAAATAGCTTGATTGAAAAGAAAAATTATAGACATAATTGACACGTTTATCTCTTATAATAGTTTTATTCACTCTATTTAGTTGAAGGCGATAAGGGAGCTGTTAATTGAATTTCCCCCCAATGTTTTGAGTAGACCTTACGTTTCCATTGAATGTAACATAGTTTTGCTTTCCAAAAGGCATCCACCCTAGCTTGAGTGTGAAGAAGGAGCGGTGGTTAAATTTTCCCAAAAACATGCGAGCAGAACCCACGTTAGATATCACATAGCCTTGCTATCCAAAAGATATTTTCATCAAGGCTGCTCTGCAGTTTCGACTTCACCAGCGCACCAGGCGGGATTTCCGGGCTCGAATCCCACTTAGGATGCTGATGGGATATGTAGTCCAATCTGGAGGAGAATACTTTTTTGGAAGCAAGGCTGTGTACTTCAGTTGAAACGTTGGGCCGACTCACTAGAGTGTGGGAAAACTCAGCTATATCCCCTTCATCGCTTTAGGCGGCATAAGATGAATACGGCACTTATTCTAGATCTACTGGTAGTTTCGAAACCTACTCAAAAGGAATTCCAGGAGTAGTCTGTTAGTGATACGAGTTTTGATAGTCGTATCACTTATACTGAAGGCCAACGTCAAAATAATGGTAGAGCATCAAAATCTTTGAAAAAATTATGCATCAGGTCTCTCTGCATAAAAGAAAGCTTGGCTTTTCTGAAACAGTGCTTAAGCTAATTATTTAGCCTCGTGTGGCCATTTGAAGGCATACCCTACTCCGTTCTACACACGTTGTCAACTGCTAACATTACTCGCTCTATAGATAAGGTGTGGTCGAGCCAGAGTCTTCGATTCAGTCTTACGAATGCCTTTAAAATGAATATTATAGTCTTCAATCTTAGCTAAGCTGTCGGTCACCGCCTAGCAGCAGTATTTTTATACCATCCATACTACTACTACTACTATTTACAAAACGACTTATATTGGTACCAGTAATTATCATAATTATTTTCATCCTGTTCGTCTCTTGACTACGCTTTAATCTTTCTTTCAAGAGCATGATGCCACCCTTCTTCAAGAAAACCATGACTGA